AAGGGAGCTTAACAACCAGAAAATCTACGTCTACTGATCTGGTTCCGGCCCATACGGGTAGTGTGATCTTGCCCAAAGAGTACTTCGGGTTAGCATTAAAGCCGAACAACAGATAATCAGCCGGAGATAGGTCCGAATCGGTAAAACCAAGTTTGACAAAAGTTTTGTAATACATTATCTCTGAAAGTGCTGCCCTAGCCAATGAGGACACGCTCGATGGTGAATCTGTTTACACGTAGCTCGATGACGAGGGGATTAGTGTAGGGGTAGGTCACTCTAACTAAATCACTGTCATCAAAACTAATCATTCTAGTGTCGTGTGGCTGTTTCGCTGGCGTCATCGAGCTATGTGTGCTAGATGGCAACTGGATTGTGTGCACCTTTAGTGGTGTCGACAAACTGTATATCATATGGATTACACCAAGATAGGGTGACTCCGGCCGTAGAGCTACTGTATTTGTTGAATTGTTCTTTCGGACGTATTGCGTAAGATGGTCGTCTTGCACCAATTCTTCCAGGTGATCTCTTAAAGAAAAACAACTATCGGTGTTGTGACTATGGTCTTTATGATACTCACATCGTTTATCTTGTCTTCTCGCATCGGGGGGTTCCGTCATCTTGAGCGGCCACTTGAAGAACGGAAGGTGTTGTATTTTCGACAGAATCTTATTGATTAGCTCTGTCAGCTCCGTGTATTTCTTGCCCAGACGCCTTGTGCGCCTGTTATCCACTTGGTATTGTTCATTAGCCCGTTGTGAACATTGGTCGATTGATCGGCGCGAATCATGCCTTTTGTCTCGTTTAGGTCGATTCCGTCGTTCAGGGCTTCTTAAAGGCACGAAGCTAATCGGCTGAACAACTCCCGTCGTGGCTGTCTCACCGGCTTTACGTTCGGCCTTGACTCGAAGGGCATCATCTTCCACTTTACAGTATTCTTCAACCTTCTTCATTAATGCCCAGACGATTTTGGGGGGACGCCTGGTCAATGAACTGCGAAGGGGGCTATTAGGATGCAATCCCATCTTAAAGGCGATGATGGCCATGGAATCATTGCAAGCATCATCAACCAGATTAAAGCATTCCTAATAGCAGGCCAAGTATTCACGAAGAGTTTCTTCCGGTTTAATTTACATAGCTCAGAGAGAGTCGGTTTGCTTCGGCTGGACCTCATTGATGATGAATCTTGCCCTGAATGACTTTTGGAGTTGGTGGAAGCTCTTAACTGATGCCGACTCCAATTTATAGTACCACCTCACGGCTAGTGGTCCCAGACTGCTTGGAAATATCCGACACATGAGGGCTTCGTCGTCAGCATGGAGCGTCATTGCTTGCTTGTAATGACGAATGTGATCAGTGGGGTTTGATTTTTCGTCGTAGAGGGTGAACGACGGTGCCTTGAACTTCTTGGGTAGCACAGCCCTGGTAATTCGTCGCACGAATGGGTCGTGTTTATTTTCCTCATCTGAATCATTACTTTTCCTTCGTCTATGTCGTGTATATAGATTTCCCTTAGACGAGCTGGATACATCAACACGCCCTTTCTTTCTGGGCTCCGGGGATGGTGAGTCTGAATCACTACCACTATTACGTTTCTGAAGTCAACGTCGGCGACCATCATTCTTTCCCGAAGGTCAACCCCGGTCTTGGCATGCGGCTTGTTGAGACTTCACCACCTCTAAGGCCAAATCCTGGCGCAGGCGCTCATTCTCAGCTAGCACGTTCTCCAGCCGTTGTTCATTTTACTTTGCCTGATCCATAATCGTCTGCATTGTCTCATGCATTGAAGTTGAGGGTGATGTCTGAGCTACTAAGTCAAAGTTCAAGGCATGTCGCGTGGCGATAATCTCCAGTCCTAGCATGTTGCTTGGTGTGAGGTCGTCTCTTGGTGTAGTTTCATCAACGACTATGGAGGATCTTCCATTACACTCACCATGGATGTATTTGAGTATTCCCATAGACGACGCCAATTGTGGAAGAGTGGTTTGGAAATACTCTTGGATCCTGAAGGACGTTCCTGTTCCTCTGATTGTCACCTGAAAAGGGATTAACACTCCGGTCGGGGCTGCCGGAATTAGCACTCCAACGGACAAGTTAGTATATGTCTCACGTTTGCTTATGTCTCAAGTTTCTTGGGGTTATCTCTCACATACCTTTGTTTGGCTGATGTTCCTTTATTTATATTCGCTTTTGGGCCTCAGGGTCAAGCCCACTTTTAATCCACTGTGTAGTTGTTCATTCGGCTCCTTTTGTCATAAACCAATTCCCACTCGGCTCCTCCCTGAACTGGTTCTATAGCCGATTAGGATGTTCGACTTCTAGATCGTACAAGACGAGGTCGAATATAATATATATCCTGATTATCTAAGTGTATATTATATTCGGCCTCTTTGCATCCCCTAATATTCGGCTCCCACATATATATATACAAACTCATTTTAAACTCCATATCAGAATATATACAAACTCCGTATATAGAATTAGCATATGTGAAGGCCATATGTGAACTCCATATATTCAAATTTCAAATTAATCATATGTGAAGGCCCTATTCAAATTTCAGATTTGTTTTTTCACTTAATATGGAACTAATTTTTTATAGGAAGTTAATGAAATTGATTTTTTACCTCATAAACCACCGATCCAGATTACATGCGAGACAGAGACATAGCTGAAGATAGAGAGCGACAGAGGAGCTGCGGACAGACGAGGGAGACACAGACGCGCAGCCGAAGATTGATAAGAGTGACGGACAGAGATACAACTGAAGATACCAAGAGACAGACAGAGGACAACCAGAGTTCTTGGTGAGCTATAGCCGTCGTCAACGGCGGAGAGCTATGGTGGAGGAGGAAGATGGCGACAACAGGTGAAAACAGACGAGGGAAGATGGTGGAGACAGGTTTTGGAGGTTCCCACTATATCTTTTGTTTTGTTTTTTTGTTTTTTTTTGTTTTTTACCTCATAGCTGCGTATACACTAGGAGTGCTCGCGGATCGATTTTGTGCGGTTTGCGGTTTGGTTTTGACCCGCCCGCATCTATGCGGTTTGGGGCAAAGTCAACCCGCAACCGCCCGCAGTGCGGTTTGCGGTTTGTGCAGATAGGGTTTGCAGATGTGCGGGCGATTGCGGACGGTTTGCAATTTACACTTTTTTCTTTAAAAATTAATTTTTGAGTTTTTTTTTCCCATCGAATTTAGGCATCAGATTCATTTCATATATTTGTGATCATTTGACAATAATTTTCTGACGAGTTTACAAATAAAAATTGAATATCAATGCATTAAATGAAAATATCTAAAACAAAGAGACCCTACACTAGCATTTTTGCCATGAAAAAATGTATATCAATGTATTAAAAAATGTATATCAATGCATTAAAGGTTGTACTCAATTAGAATTGCTAGTTCAGTAATCAATAATCAAACTAGAAGCTCCATCGACCACCAGAAGGAAAATTTTATTAGGAAAAAGTGAATGAGTTACCAATGAAAATCATATAAGAAACCAAGTTTAGGACTTGATAATTCTACAGTATTAAGAAAGCTGAGAAATAGTTAAAAATAAGGATCATAGTATCACAGAGAACATAATGGTGCTCCTATTACAGTTATAAAGTTGGTATATAAATAATAATAATAATAATAATAATAATAATAATAAAAGTGCGGGCAATTTTTGTGAGTTTCGGGTTTAACCCGCGACCCGTCCGCAACCCGCAAATTTGTCATATTTCAAACTGCATCCGCCCGCATTATGTTTGCGAAACCATCCATTTATATACGGGTTGGGCGGTTTGAGCGGTTTGAATAAACTGTTACCCACCCTTAATATACATCCATACTCTACATCAGCTGTCACTTCATCTGCCACGTCATTAGGGGTCTAGGGGCCTGTTTGTTTTGGGTTAAGTAGATGGGAGGGGATTAGGATGGTGGGTGTGTTATTTAATGTTGTGTTTGTTTGTAGAGTTAGGGAAGCAATTAGGATGATAGAAGTGATATAGATGGAGGTTAGAGAGATGGTATCAGAAAAATAGTGAGGGGATTAGAAATTTTTTTTATTTATTATATATTGGAAATTTTTTTATAAATATTAATGTTTAATTTTTTATATTTTTTTATTTATTTTATTATTTTATATAAAAATAATTTAACAATTCCTACATTAACAACTATCATCACCCCTTAGTCTACAAAAGTATTGGATGCTTTTATTTTACGCTGAAGCCAACTTCTTGGTCGCTCGAGCCAAGATTGAAAATAAAGAGTGGTTACTAGAGCGGTCTTTGGTCACTCGAGCCAACCTCTGATGTCTACAAAAGTATTAGGAGCTCGAAGTGTACACTCGAGCAACACTTCCATCGCTTGAGCAAACTACTCGAATTTCGGAATTTCCAAAATTCTGTTTGAGCTTCAAACACAACTCCAAGGCTTCAAATTCATGCATGACTTACTCAAACATGCAAGATCACTTCCAAACACATATCTTTGAAGGTAGTTTCAACCCATTGTTCAAAATTCCATGAATTCATCAAAATTCAAACCACAAACTTCATGAATTCGACAAAACGAACTCAAAACTTTCATTCATGTATGATCTAGCATGATCTAGCTTAAATTCTTATTTAATCATCTTCAAAACATGAAACTAAGTCTCGTAACCCCATGATTCATGAATGCATGTGCTAAGTAACTCCCAATATAACATGATTATCATGTTTCATGCTCAAATATGAGGAATTATAACAAATTTACACATGCATGCACATATTGATTCTAATCTCCACATATTCAACTCAATTCTTGCATTTATGTTCATACTCTTTTTGAATTCACATAATTATGGACTTCATGAATTAGAGTTTAAATACTTACCTAGAGCTTTGATTATCACTTGTATTAGTAGATTCTTGAGCTATTCTTCATAATTCTCAATTCCCTTCAGCAAATCTTCAAAGATGATCTCTTTCTCTCTCTCTCTCTCTCTCTCTCTCTCTCTCTCTATATATATATATATATATACACTCTTTTTCTTTCTAGATCTGCAAATTCAAACCCAGAATTCCAAAATCAAAAACAACAAAAACCCAAATACCAAAAATCAAATCATAGCAAAAACACCCCCTTCTCCAGGGGTTGTTGTTGGTTCCTCCATTGCTGTGATTTGATTTTTTCCAATTCTCTCCTATACAACCACCAAAAACCAAAAAAAGAAAAAAAATGGCTGATGAAAAGAAGTACATTTCTGAAGAAGATTTGAAGAAACACAACAAGCCTACTGACTTGTGGATCTCAATCCAAGGCAAGGTCTACAATGTGACAGATTGGGCTAAACAACACCCTGGTGGCGATATCCCTCTCCTCAATCTCTCCGGCCAAGACGCCACCGATGCGTTCATCGCTTTCCATCCCGGCTCCGCTTGGCAATACCTTGATAAATTCTTCACTGGGTACTATCTCAGAGATTTCGAGGTCTCTGAGGTGTCTAAAGATTATCGGAGACTCGCTTCGGAGTTTTCGAAAGCCGGTATGTTCGATAAGAAAGAGCATGTTGTGATTTACTCTCTTTGTTTTGTTGCGATGTTGTTTGTTTCGTGTATTTGTGGTGTTTTGTGTTCCAATTCTTTCTGGGTTCATATGGGTTCTGGTGCATTGTTGGGATTTGCTTGGGTTCAAATTTCATATCTAGGTCATGATTCTGGGCATTATAATATGATGACAACTAAAGGGTTCAACAAATTAGCACAAATTTTATCTGGGAATTGTCTCACTGGGATCAGCATTGCTTGGTGGAAATGGACCCATAATGCCCACCACATTGCTTGTAATAGTCTTGATTATGATCCTGATCTTCAACATTTACCCTTCTTCGCCGTCTCTTCCAAGCTATTCCATTCCATTACTTCGCGATTTTATGGTAGAGAACTCACATTTGATCCCGTCTCTAGGTTCCTAGTTTGCTATCAACACTTCACATTTTATCCCGTGATGTGCGTTGCGAGGGTTAACCTGTTTTTGCAGACATTCTTGTTGTTGTTGTCCAAGAGAAGAGTACCCGATAGAGCTCTAAACATATTGGGAATTCTTGTGTTCTGGACTTGGTTTCCCTTATTGGTTTCGTGCTTACCCAATTGGACGGAACGGGTTTTATTCGTGCTTGCTAGCTTTTCGGTTACCTCAATTCAACATATTCAGTTCTGTTTGAACCATTTTTCGGCTAATGTTTATGTGGGATCGCCTACGGGCAATGATTGGTTTGAGAAACAAACGAGTGGGACGATTGACATTTCGTGCTCGTCTTGGATGGATTGGTTCCATGGTGGATTGCAATTTCAGCTCGAGCATCATTTGTTTCCCCGGTTGCCTCGGTGCCACTTGAGGAAGGTTTCGCCTGTGGTGAGAGAGCTTTGCAAGAAGCACAACTTGCCTTATCGGAGTTTGTCCTTCTTTGAGGCTAATGTGCAGACAATCAAGACGCTCAGGGCCGCGGCTCTCCAGGCTCAAGATTTGCTCTGGGAAGCTTTTAACACTCATGGTTGAGGATGATGACGCTTGTCAAGATTTATAAATAATCCTCCTGCAGTTTTTATGAGGGTAATTTTATTTTGTTTTCTTTGGTTGGGGAATTCTTAAAAAAAAAACATTTTTTTTCTTCTGTTTGGCGGCTATTTGGATTCAATTCATTGCTAGGTTTCATAAACTCTGCCTCTGATTGGTTTTATGATCGGGGTATATTCTACATCCAGTTGCCCTTCAATTAAGGGATTAACTAGGAGTTAATATATTATATTTTATATTATTACATAAATATATCTTTGTGTATCAATTCTTGTTTCTTAGTTCAGTTTTGGAGTTGTTTGTTTATTTGTGAAAAGGAATAGTATTTTTCCCTTCTGCCTTGTAGTAGCTTAAGCTGTTCTGCCTCGAAGCGGAGCCTGTTTTTTCACCAAATTAATGAAAATATGATCAATTTCCATCTGTCAACGATCCAGCTTGTCTGGTTACCTAGATTACTAAAAAAAGGAGGATCTGTTTGTATTTGTAAATGAATTCTCATATCTGTGTATGAATCAGTTGCTACTTGAAGTTAAACAACATATGGAGTTTGGAACTATATATAGGATAGAGTGCATATTCGAATGTGATTGTGTCTATCAGCTAACCCCAATTTAGATTCGAGAAATGTTTTTCAGGTAAGGACCACAACCACTAGCATGTTATGTTATGATCACAGAATAGCAAACTCCTATGTGTCATTACCCTTTGACGGGTATTGCCATGTATTAGTTTTGATTTTCCAGAGCACAGAGGTTTCTTCATTAAAAGTTCTTGTCACACCAACTTTCGAAATACTCTTTACTTGTATATTTAAAAAGCTCTCTCTCTCTCTCTCTATATATATATATGTGTGTGTGTGTGTGTGTGTGTGTGTTTTAGTAATATAAAGGAGGTATAAAGGAAAAAGAAGAGGAAGACAAAAGTATCAATAATCACTTTATATTGGCTGCAACATGTAATGTATATAAGGAGGATACATATGAAAGCTATAAAGACCATTCACATAGTGGTACAGAACATCTTTAGACATGGCTTTTAATGGAAGAACTGTAACCGGTCTGATCATCATAGTACTTGGACCACAGCATCACACCCCCATACTTAGCAGAACCCTTAATAGCCGGAAGGACTTTAGAAGTGAGATCAGTGACGGGAATGAAGCCACTTCCAGCTGCATCCGGAGCAGCAGGCAGTCCTAATAGAATCTTCGTAGCGGGAATTGCCGAGGTCCATTGCTTCCATGCATCTTCAAGATTGCCAATACTCCCGGAGGTGTATTGGCAAGGAGGGTTGTTGTAGAATTGAACCCAAACGTAATCAAAAAGCCCGGTCTTAAGTGCACCTCCGACCCAAGCATCCGGGAATGGGCACTGGGGAGCGGCGGTTAAGTAAACCTTCTTACCTTGTTTGCTGTATCCAGCAAGGTACCTGGCAAGCTCATCCCAGTGTTGGCTTGTTCCTCCTTCAATATCAAAGTCGATTCCGTCTAGAACGGCCGCACCAAGCGGGCGGGTCGAGGACTGTCCCCCTAAGAAGTTGTTCCAGAGGTAAGTCGCAACTTGCCTAGCATCCTCAGACGAAGCAAGGGAATAACTTCCTGCCCCTCCTCCAATCGAAAGAATCACCTTGATTCCCTTTGATTGACATGATTTAATGTCCAAGCTTACACCTGTGCATCCCTTGCTGTAGGGATCGCAGTGACCGGCAAGGTTAATCATGGGAGTCCGACCATTGCCGAACGTTGCAAGAAAAGCTAGAATCACAAATTCATAGTTACCTGTGGCACAAGTCTCCGCCAAGGTGCCTTCGTTTCCATTTTGACCCCAGTATATAGCGATCCCACCCGCATTAGATCCCATCACCAATAGTAGCATAACCAAAGGGAGGATTATTTTCTTGAATGCCATTCTAAGCTAGGCCTAGAGGAGATATTAAGGATGATCTTTGTTGTGTTTGTGGCCAATCATGCCTGAAGAGGCATGATTTTTATAGTGGTCTATTATTGTCATTATGAGTGTTTTTTTTTGGCCAATATGTGGTGACTGCTTTTTTGAACTCATGCTATGAAGCATGGCCTGGCCGGCACTTAGTTCCAAATTCATTTGTGACAAATCTGAATGACATGGTTTTAACTTAAACAAAATCAAATGTCTTCTCCTATGGTGATTACATCTCTTAGTTTATTGTCCATTTGGGTTGTGACTGACCTATTTAAATCTATATTTTGTGTCTTCTAATTACCTGTTACAAATTTGAAAGAAATAGTTTAACGTAGAAGGTGTTGATCATAATCAAGTTTCTTCTTCTAATATGGTTATTCTTATGAGATTGCAGTGTCATCTCTTAGTTATTGTCCATTTGTGTTGTGAACTATGAAAATCTGTTTTGTGTTTTAACTGGAACCCAAAGGTCATGACTTATGTAAAAGGAGTTGAACAAATCAAGTTTTTCCTCCTAATATATGGGTTCTTCATATGAAATTGCAGTATCTTATTGTCCATTTGTGTTGTGACCTATGTCAAATTTTTTTTTTCCTTCTTTTTCTTGTTCTTTTTTTTTCTTCTTCTTTTTCTTTGCATCTTTTAATTGTAGCTTGAAAGACATGTTTAAGGTAGACGTAGTTGAACGAAATCAAGATTTCATCATATGAAATTGCAGTGTTATCTCTTAGTTATTGTCCATTTGTGTTGTGACCCTATGGATTTCTCTTATTTATTTATTTTTTTGCCTCTTTTAGTTGCAACTTGAAAGACATGTTCAAGGTAGACGCAGTTGAACCAAATCAATTTTATTCCCTTTTAAGGATAATGCTAGAGATACTATTTTTTATCAAATAAATGATCAAATCTCCACACCCAAGTGAGACATTTGGTCATTTGTTTGGTAGAAAATTTAGGACGTATACTATTTTCCTTCTCTTAATATGTGGTTATTCATATGAGATTGCAGTGTCTTAATCATTGTCCATTTGTATTGTGACCTATTTTTTTGGCGTCTTGTAATTGCAACTTGAAAGACATGTTTAAGGTAGACATAGTTGAACGAAATCATGTTGCTTCTCTTATTATATGGTTTTTCATGTGAGATTGCAGTGCCTTAATCATTGTCCATTTGCAGGAATTTGATTGGTCGTTTTATATACCAAAAATAAATATTAAACTGTATCAAATTTCTTAGAATAGTGGTCAGAGACAAATGTGAAATTAAACTAATTTAATTATTAAATTTTTAAATTAATTTTGATCGAAGAGATGATTGATTCATACACTAATCTAATAATAAATAAAATAAACTAAGAGATTAAACTATTAATTAAAAATGAAATTGGAATTATTGGTTGTTGGAAAAACTTAGGTTAATGAATTCACCACTAATTACATAAATAAGGTTTCAATTTGAAAATCAATTATGTTACGGTTCGAACCAAATAATATTCCACAACTACAAGCTTGAAGCATTGATTAAAAGAATTAATATGTTCGATGTATAGGCAAGAATTATTTTAAACAGTACGAGTCGTTCGCTCTAAACTAGGATACACAACTCGTCCCTTGTAGTATGGCTTGTCTCATATCTTGAATATGAAAGAATAGAAAATCATTGCATGCAAAACATTCAACAATTACAAAAAGTAGAATACTTGAAGAAATAATAGAAAACATATTTGAAAACTTTTTGAATACCATACAACTATTCAAATTATTACATAAAAGAAAACCGAAAGAAAACCCTATTTACTTGGCTAGGGTTTTATCAAAATCTTAAAAATAGAAGCCTAATCACTCATGGAGGAGTGGGAAGAGATAGAAAAAGCAGAAACCCCTATGAAAATTGATCCTCAAGCTTGAGAATTCCCCTTTTCCAAACCTTAGCCCGCATCTCTTTTGGAATTTTTCAGAACCCTAATCCAGCTTTTTTCGGTCTTTTTATATCTTTGCAATTTTCCGCACATTCAAAACATCAGGCACGTTTCTTGAGGTATGGCCGCACGTGCGGGAAATGCCACCGCATGTGCGGCCAGGGTTTCGCATGTGCGGGAATGGGTCTCCGCACGTACGATTTCTTTAGGCTCTGTTTGGCTATGATGGATGGATCGCATGTGCGGGAAGCATTTTTTTCTAAAACTTCTGTATTTTTGCTCATTTTATGCTCCCACTGTATCCAACCTGATCGGCATTAAACATGTATAAAATCTATAATTTGACAAGTAAGTAAAGTTAAGAGATCCTAATTATCGGCCTTAGTGTTATACAATTCTGCCTCAATCAGTACACATAGTTGAACAAATCAAATTTCTTCTCTTAATATATATATGATTATTCATATGAAATTGCAGTGTTTTAATCATTGTCTATTTGTGTTATGACCTATGAAAATATATTTTTATACAGCTTTTAATTGCAACTTTAAAGCCACGTTTAAGGTAGACAGTTTTAACAAAATCAAGTTTCTTCTCCTAACTTGGGCTATCCATATGAGATTGCAGTGTTATCTCTTAGTTACTGTACATTTGTGTTGTGACTTATCTATTCAAATCTATTTTTTTGCATCTTTTAATTGCAATTCGAAAGATATGGTTTAACATAGACAAAGTTTAATAAAATCAAGTTTCTTCTCCTAATATGGTTTATTCATATGAGATTGCAGTGTCTCTTAGTTCTTATCCATTGCTTTACAAATATGAAAGACATGGTTTAACGTCGACGGAGTTAAAAAAATAAAAAAATTCTTCTCTTAATACATGGTGGTTCATTGAGATTGCAAGGGTCAATTATTGTCCATTTGTGTTGTCACCTATTCTATTCTTTTTTATTACTATTGTCTTTTAATTGTTGTGGTACTGTGTAGCAGTGTATGGTAGCTTCCAAATGTGAATTATTGCCTTCTAAAGATGATATGATATGATTTTATTTTATTTTATTTTTTAACAGCACGAATGCTTTCTTGTATGTAGTGATTATTAAATTTTGTTTAAGAATGAGATTTATCATCAATCAAACAAATTAGCTGATTTGGAGGTTGACATCTCTTTTGCTTTCATTTTCTAAAAGATGATTATGGTGTTTTATTTTCGGCAACTGTTAAGAGCACTAATTTGTATTGAGAGATTAGAGCTAATACTGTTTTGAAATCGGTGAAGAGGTTAAAAAGTGTTTTGAAATTAATTGAATAATACTATATGTACTAATTAATATACACACTAATGTACTAACAGATGATATTGCATTATTTGTATGGTTTTGGATATTTGTAACTTGTATAATAAATGTGGTCAATAATAATATTATAACGCTATTTGGTACACTAGTATATACACTAATTAGTGTATGTAGCACTACCGAAATTAATTTGATCGTTTACTTTCTCTTTTTCTTTTTCTTTTTTTCTTGTATTATATAATGATTATGCTTTTTCATTTTTTGGCAAATGCTAAGGACGTTGGTTTATATCAAGATAGGAGTGAATGTTTTCTAAATAAGCGAAAAAGTAAAAAATATTTTGAAGTAAATGACAAGGTGAAAAAGTATTTTGACATTGGTCATGTTCTTTATAATTTTTTGTCTTTTTCTTGTATTATCTGAAAGATGATTATGTTGTTTCATTTTTGGCAAATGCTAAGGGCACTGGTTTGTGTCAAGATTAAAGTGAATAGTATTTGAATATATGTGGAAAACTTAAAAAGTATTTTAAAATTAATGGAAAGTATTTTGAAATTGGTAGCCTTTTTGGACGATTCTTATGTGCCTTGCATATGGTGTGCAAGGCATGTGTACTTTTCTTATATATTGCTTTGATTTTAGTTATATATTTTTGTGTTGATTGTTATATATTGATGAGCTGTAAAACAGGTTAATTTATAAGTAATATAATTAAGGGTGAATTACATTAATAGTCTTCATAGTTTGAAACTTGTATTACTTTAGTTCTTGACTTTTCAATTGTGATATATTTGACAATAAATTTTAAATCTTGTTCCAAATAAGGACAACTGAAGATATTATTAGAATTTTTAAGGATAAAATCGTCAATTTAATAAAATATAAACTAATTTGACAAAAATAAATATCAAACAAATATTTTTAAATTTTAAAAAATTATTTTTACCCACTAAAAATAAAATTATGTAAAATAAATAAATCTTTTAAACATTTATTTATTTATTTTTTTTGCCAAATTAATTTTTATTATGTGTTTGGATGATGACCATTAAAATTAATTTTAAAAAAGTAATCATCTAATTTTTATTAATTTTTATCAATTTTACATAATTTTATCATTGGTAGATAAAAATAATTTTTAAAAAATTAAAAATATTTTTTTGACATTTATTTTTGTCAAATTAGTTTATATTTTATTAATTTGACAATTTTGTCCTTGAAATTAAACAATGGTATCTTCAATTGTCTTTATTTGAGACAATGTTCAAAATTCAGGATTAAATATGTCACAATTGAAAAGTCAGGGACCAAAGTGACACGAGTGCCAAATTATAGAGACTATTTGTGTAATTTGCCCTATAATTAAAACAATACGTAAGTGATTTTACAAAAATACGTAATTAACATAAATTCGAGTAATTATCTCATAAAAGTTTTGAAAAATACAAAATTACATAAATTTTTACAAACTCACGTAAGTGATCTCAAAAGATGCGTAAGTTAATACAAATTCTCCATAAATTATCTCATAATTTTTTTTAAAAATACAAAATTACATAAATTTTCTTAAACTCACGTAAGTGACTTCATAAAAAGGCATGACTAATACAAATTCAAGAAAGTTTCTCATAAAAGTTTTGAAAAATATAAAATCACGCAACTTTTCACAAACTCACGTAAATGATTTCAGAAAAACGTGTAAGTTAACACAAATTTTTCGTATATTATTTCATCAAATTTTTGAAAAATACAAAGTGACATAAGTTTTTACGGACTCACGTAAGTGATCTCATAAAAATGCGTAACTAATACAAATACGAGTAAGTTTTTCATAAAAGTTTTGAAGAATATAAAATTACGTAAATTTGCACAAACCCACTTAAATAGTTTCACAAAAATAGGTAAGTTAACATAAATTTCCTTAAGTTATCTCATAAATTTTTTGAAAAACACAAAATAACTTAAGTTTTCATGAATTCACGTAAATGATCTCATAAAAATGTGTAATTAACACTAATTCGAATAAGTTCTTTATAAAAGTTTTGAAATACATAAAATCACATAAATTTTCACAAACTCACATAAGTAATCGCACAAAAAAAAAACATTAGTTAACCTATTGAAAATGTTACCTTTTCTTAACTATTAAAAAATTGAATGCTCATGATCAATTTATTTTAATCCAATGACTACAAATATACTAAAGGGGTTGCACACCCAAACAATATCTTTTTTGCAAAAGGTTGTTGAACGTAAGAGAACGTGAGGGGCTCGTGGGGCTTGCCGTGGGGCTTACCAATATGGGATCCATTTTGACGCTCTTAATCGTTCATTTTGAATGTATATCATTTATAAAAAAAAAATTTATGTCGATCTAATAATCATAATATTTTTATTTTATTGCGTTTGTTTCTTAAAAAAATACAAGTATGTTATTTAAAATAGATCATTCATTTTTTTGAAGACAAACACAATAAAATGAAAATATTCCAATTATCTTATCGGCTTAATTTTTTTTATGAATGATATACACAGATAATTTTACAAAGTGAACAATTCAGATCATTGAAACGAGACTAGTGATGAACCTCACGAGTTTTCTCAAATTCATATTTAAATTTGAGAAAAGCCTATTCCTTTAACAAATGCTAAAAGCTTTGATTTCTAGCAAGATTCGAGTAGACATTGGTTTAGAAATAAGTGAAAAAGTTAAAAGTATTTTGAAATTAATAAAAAAAAAATTAGTTATTATTTATTTCTTATGCTTAGTGTAATTTTTGGATGTAATGGAAACATAGCTTATCTCTTTGGATAACCAATTTCCCCTTAATGTTGACTTGTTCTTTTGGTAACTGTAGGTAATAAAATTGGTGAAATTAAGTGAAAAAGTTAAAAGCATTTTGAAATTAATAAAAAAAAAATTAAATTAGTTATTATTTATTTCTTATGCTTGGTGTGATTTTCGAATGTAATGGAAACATAGC